GATTTGATGCACACATTCCCCACATCTTCCCCCAATCTTTAGTAAAAAATAAATGCTAGGCTTAGATCCAAAAAAACCCTCCAAAATGTCAAAGGGAGCGATGCTGGATGTGGAAGTGCAATAGATTGTAGTAGCAGGTTTTTGCCCAGCAAAGCATTAGCATTTTTTGGATAGAGTGACAGACCAACCCAGCCACAGCATGCATAGGAGGTTCACAAAGTCTTCCCCGTCTTCTTCCAGGCACAAATCAGTTAATATTCATCAAATGCTACTCATGCACCCTCTTCCCCATACTCCTAATCAGAACTGGAATTTCCCATAGGCTGCATAGACCATGGCTTATGGTGCCTTGGCAAAAGAACAATTAGCATGCAGAGATGATCGCTTTTCATTAACAGTATTACCTACTGCCATGTTACGAAGAGAATAATATACTTCATATTTGTAGCCCTCAGTGGGCTAGCATTTTAAAGCTCAGGTTGGAATCCTTGATTCTTTCTGAGGTGGAAGAAATTGGGCCCAAGTCACTTTTAAGAGTTTATTAAAGCACAGTAAACTCAAGGAGAGAGGGTAGGGCTCAGGATACCCAAAAATGACAAAAACGCAAATCAAAACTTTTAATCACATTCAAAATACAGAGAATAAGGCCAAACTGTACTTTGCAGACTGTTGAACACCATAAGACAGCACAAGTACCTCTAGAGGAACTGCCACAACCTCTTGCAGTGTCCACCAGGAGCAGCTTTACTCAGATCTCTAAGACACTCTTCAGCAACAATGTTTCCTCCCTTTGTGCTCCAATCCTCTTTCAGCAAAGATACCACCCAGACAGCAAACCTCCAACACAATCTTTATTTACTGGCAACAGCCTAGGAGGCAAGGGAAGGTCACCACAAATAGTTATATCTTTTCCCAGCATGCATCACTGGCTATAACCCTCCTAGTGATATGCCAAAGAGACATACATATTCATAACTCAACAATAGAAACAATGCCCTGAGCTTACCCAAGGAAAGCATAACTACATCTCAAGGAAGCCATACCTACATTAATCCCCACTCCTGTTGACCTAGCTGCAATACTACAGTTAAGCTAGGTACACTCAATTTATTGCAGAGCCCCTACATATCCCTGGCAAAGTGGCGTTGGACATTACTGATGACAAAATTTGTCAACTGTACATGTCTATACCACCTAGCCCAAGAAGTGAAGCAGAGGCAGGGTGAATACTTGCTTCCTCTGCCTGAGTTTTAGTGTTAATAAAACTGTGGGATGTTCAGTTTGAAAGACCCATGTCTTTGATATGTAGGTTTTTATTGTTGCTATTATTTTTTGTTTATGTCAGAATGAAAGTGATTGTGTTTGTGTGGGGCTGTTTCTGGTTGTGTCATTATGGTACTAATCCTGTATTTTTGGACATATTTTTGGTTGGGTGGAGCTTCGGACTGACGTCACTACGTTCCATAAGCGGTCGGTGTGCCCGGCTTTCTATGATGATTTTAAACACATGTGTTTGTTGCTATGTGTCGGCTAGACACTTTTCCATGTCAGTGGATTTGCTGAGTTTTTAAAGAATAAATGTACCATACGGTATCACACGATCATCTGCTTTGTTTTCTCTTTTCCTTCTGAGCCTGTGAAAGAAAGTATTTGGAATATCTTTTGGAGAATTTCGCTGCCGAGTTCCTAGACCTGCAGAGTATTGCTCCCAAAAAAGGATATATAATAAGAATCTGGATATCTGGGTTTCCCTTGTCTACAGAGTATTGCCCCATTAGCTGACAGTGAATCTACTGGAAAGTCTGGTCACCACTGGGTCTGCTTGCAGAATATTGCTCCCAGAGCAAAAAGTGCAATTGCTGGTTTATAATTTTAACTAGGAATATGCTCTGGTGAGTTTATTCATTTCTTTTGGTGGTGGATTAGCACATATATTTTTTGGTAATGGACATTTTTTCACAGTTGAAAGAAAATTCAGAGACATTTTTTCTTTGTTTTATATTTATTCATGTCACAATATAAGCTGTATATTTAATTTACAAGCACTACCTTTTTCTTATTATATTTTTTGGTTCTGTACAGTATTGATTGTGTTTCTGCAGAGTTCTTTCTGGTTTATCTGTGTGGTACTGACTATGTCTCTGCTGACACATTTCTGGTTGTGTCAGTATGGTACTGATTCTGTGTTTGCAGACATGTTTGTGGTTGTGTCTGTGTGGTACTGATTGTGTCTCTGAAGACATGTTACTTGTATCAGTATGGCACTTATTCCATCCCTGCAAATATCTTTCTATTTGTATCAGTAGGGTATTGATTTTGTCTCTGAAGACATGGTTCCTGGTTGTTAGCTATTTCTTAAATGTTTACCTGCCCCCCAGTTGGGAAATTCTAACAGCGAATTAATCCTTCACGTCTTCCCCATCACACTATAGCGCGGTCGTCCAGTTCTGGCAGGGCGTCCATGAACGTCCTCCCAGAACCATGCCCCCAGAGTGCCCTGTGATTGCTGTGTCCTTCAGACACAGCTGATCACAGATTGCGGTAAAGGACCAATAACAGCGGTCCTTTACCATGTGATCACCTGTGTCCATTCACAGCTGATCACATAGCTGATCACATGGTAAACAGATTTGCACAGACTCACACATGGGACACTGAGTATCAGTGTAGCCCCATCAGTGATGCCTATCAGTGGTTCCTATTATTGCCTCATCAGTGCTGCCTATCAGTGCCCAACAGTGCTGCCTATCAGTGTCACCTGTCAGTGCAGCCTCATCAGTGCCACCTATCAGTGCCCATCAGTGCAACCTCATTAGCACCCCTCTGTGAAGGAAAAAAAATTACTTATTTGCAAAATTTTATGACAAAAACTAAGAAACATTTTTTCCCCAAAATTTTCATGTTTTTTAATTTAAGAAAAAAAAAACTCAGTGGTTATCAAATACCACCAAAAGAAAGCTCTATGTGTCTAAAAACAAATTATAAAAATTTTTACATGGGTACAGTATGGTATGACCGTGCAGATGATATTCAAAGTGTGACAGCACTGAAAGCTGAAAATTGGCCTGGGCAGGAAGGGGGTGAAAGTGCCCAGTGTTTAATTGTTAAAGTATAACTAAAGGCATTTTTTTCCCTAGTTTTGAGTGGAGATGGATTAAAACACCTGTCAGGTTTTTATTGCTGTTTGTGTCCCCATAGGGAGATTTGCCCTCTCTATTTGTCCTGTTTACCATTATCATTGACAGTGAAAGTAAAAGAAAATTCCAAATTTTAGGTCGTTCCTGGAAAAGTAATAGAGGGGAAATCTTCCAATGGGAACACTGGATTTGGCGACAAAGGGATTCCTTTAATTTGTAAGGATTTCCTATCACTTCCTGTTTTGACTATGGGACGGGAATTGAAGGTACATCTCTTCAATGGGAAACGGGTGGCAAAATAAAAATTGACAGGGGTTATAACCCTCCCTTACTCTATTCAAAATAAATAAAAAGGTTTTTGCCTATAATTCTACTTTAATCTGCATGTTTGTGATTATTTATTCATGTTTATGTGGAACAGTGGATGTTAACTGCATTTGCATATCTAAAGCAGGAGAACATAAGTTAGCTGGCCAATATATCTGGTTCAGATGATAATAACTTCATATCACCATTGCCCCTGCAAATTGTCCACGAGGACTTGCCACTATTTTTGGTGCACTTGAATTGTGGCATTCTGCAGTAGCAATCCTCTCAAAGTCAGATGATTGTTATACATAGTTGCCAACATTTCCACAAAAATTTTAGGGACACTTATTTTTTTCTGTAGGCGGAGTATTATTTTAATTAGTGGTGGGGCATTCATTCGTGGGTGTGGTTTTAGCCACAGCAAAAAAAAGGGGCGTGGTTGAAATTGCCAGCACATATCTTCAGTATAAACCATGCTCAATACAGGCCCCCTCTTAATTCAGACCACTCTTCCTTGTCCCCCCAACCTTAGTACAGACTCAACTCAAGAAATAATAATTGAGAATCACAGACGGGGGGGCAAGCGACACATTTTTGTCTCAATAGCAGAGTCTGCTGTAGCACCAGAAGACAGCTGCTCAGGGCAGTGTCCTGAATCTCTGAAGGAGGCACTGCACAGGGTTTTTTTTTTTACCAAAAAATAGACACCTGCAGGTAATGGGTACACATTACATACAGTGTAACTAATGTGTTTGGTACAGTATTTAAAACAAGCAAAACAAAACAAACAAAAAAACTAAAATTCAGCTTTAAAGTGTACAGCAGCAGTCACTATAAGGCGGACCGCAGTCCGCGAATGGCCCCAGCAGCGCTGCCTCCTGGATCACCAACCCGCAATGAAAGATCCGCTGCTGAGCAGGGCGGTCGTCACAGCAACATGACATCATGTGTGCGCCCCAGCCCTATCATCTCACTGTCTCTCCCGCTTCTGCTCCCTGCCTGCACAGAAGCGTCCAGCAAGGATTCCGGCACAGCTCCTGTCTGCCCTCAAGGTAGGGTGTAGTCTTACAGGGGCACTCTAATGGGCACATTGAATGTTAAGGAGCACTCTGATGGGCACAACATAGAATGTGCCCATCAGAGTGCCCCTTAACATAACATGTGCCCATCAGAGTGCCCCTTAACATAACATGTGCCCATCAGAGTGCCCCTTGACATAACATGTGCCCATCAGAGTGCCCCTTGACATAAAACGTGCCCTTCAGCATGCCCCTTATTTTATGTTAAGGGGCACTCTGATGGACACATTTATATTAAGGTGCACTCTGATGGGCACATTTTATGTTAAAGGGCACACTGACGGGCACATTTAATGTTAAGGTGCACTCTGAAGGGCACAACATAGAATGTGCCCATCAGAGTGCCCCTTAACATAAAATGTATCCATCAGAGAGCCCTTTAATATAAATGTGCGCATCAGAGTGCCCCCTAATATAAATGTGTCCATCAGAGTGCCCCTTAACATAAAATGTGTCCATCAGCATGCCTCTTATTTTATATTAAGGGACACGCTGACAAGCATTTTATGTTAAGGGGCACTCTGATGAGCACATTTTATGTTAAGGGACACTCTGATGAACACATTTTATGTTAAGGGGCACTCTGATGGGCATATTTTATGGTAAGGAGCATAAATGGGCACATACTGTGGAAAGGGTCACTCTGATGGGCACATGTGATGCAAAGGGGCACTCTGATGGGGAATATGGTGTAAAGGGGCACTCTGATAGGGAAATATAATAGAAAGGGATATTTTGAGGGTAAGGGGGCACTCTTGACGGGAATACCTGATGAAAGGTGGCAATGTGATGGGGATACCTGATGTAAAGGGGCACTCTGATGGGGACAACTGAAGTAAAGGAGCACTCTGATGGGCACACCTCATGTGATTGGAATACATAATGTAAAATTGCACTCCGAAGGCGACACCTAATGTAAGAGGGCACACTGATGGGCACACCCTATTCGGACCTCAGCCTGAAGAAAATTTTAGTGACTGGACCTCCTTGAATTTTAATTCAATACCCCTGGTGTACAGTATACAGCTACATTTATCTGTGCAGACTTTTGTTTTCAAGCAGAAGCTAACTTTTACCCTTTGCATGATGCTCGCACTTAAAGTGTTACTAAACCCAGGACCCTGCATTCACTATATCTGGTCTCCCACAGAACACTGAACATGGAAATGCAATTATATTACTAAATATAAACTGCTAAATACCTTTTCTCATTAACAGTATATAGCAGTCCTGTAACGTCTATCAGTGTCCAGCAGAGCACTGGTTAAAGCTTGTAGGAGGAGTTTTCATTCTCCACTGATTGTCCTATGCGGTTGCATAAACCCAACCTTTTGTCTGGAGAGCACTGATTGGCCTTGTGCTGATCACATGCACTCTCCCAAGATAAAAAAAAAACACTTTATAGCATTATACATCAAACTGAGCATGTGTGGCTTGACCCTAAGGCTCTGTTCTATCAGCAGATGGATTGGAGACAGGGGAAGAAGGGGAGGATCAGAAAAGACAGGATCAAACATCCATTTTACACAATGTGGAGGATTAACCCCTTAGGTTCCACAGTGAGTATAACAAGCATGCTTTACTGCATATACAGACTGATTTTACTGCTGTGGGTTTAGTAACACTTTAAAATAATACAAAATAATACAAAGCATGCATTCTCCAGCATTACCACAAGTATGCAGAGGTTTCTGATGCTGGTTTGGGTTTCACAAACATTATGGCAGCACCCAGCAGCTAAAGAACTGTATTGTGTTTTCCAAGGGATGCAACCAGCTCTCCAGGACAACTGCATGGCATGCTCATTTCATGCTCATATCATTTTTGCAAGAAAAAGAGAAAAAAATCAGGAGTAGAGAGTGCTGGGACAGCTCCACAGAAGATGCAGCAGCCTCAGGAAAAGTAAAATATACATAAACTCTGTATACAGGATCTCTTCATGTCATTTTCTATGCACACAACAAACTAGTATCCGGTGAGACTTAATGAGTGCAACCATCACCCCAGGGCTCTCTCCTCCATGCTAAAGCTGGTGAAAGCTATCATCTTATGTACTTTCAGTGATATATTTCACATTAGTATTGCAAGAAGGAAGAAGCAAAAGTTAAAGTACAACTATGGCCACGGAAAATAAAAAAAAAAAATTATATATATATATATATATATATATATATATATATATATATATATATATATACACAGTTGTGCTCAAAAGTTTACATACCCTGGCAGAAATTGTGAAATTTTGGCATTGATATTGAAAATATGACTGATCATGCCAAAAAATGTTCTTTTATTGAAGGATGATGATCATATGAAGCCATTTATTATCAAATAGTTGTTTGGCTCCTTTTAAAATCATGATAACAGAAATCACCCAAATGGCCATGATCAAAAGTTTACATACCCTGGAATGTTTGGCCTTGGTACAGACACACAAGGTGACACACACGGGTTAAAATACCAGTTAGAGGTTAATGTCCCACATCTGTGGCTTTTTAAATTGCAATTAGTGTCAGTGTATAAATAGTCAGTGAGTTTGTTAGCTCTTATGTGGAAGCACTGACTAGGCTAGATACTGAACCATGGGGATCAGAAAAGAACTGTAAAATGTCCTGCGTAACAAGGTAATGGAACTTTATAAAGATGGAAAAGGACATAAAAAGATGTCCAATATCAATGCCAAAATTTCACAATTTCTGCCAGGGTGTGCAAACTTTTGAGCACAACTGTACACTATATAAATATTCAGCTACTGTATATATAGATAATATATGTGTGTGTGTTGTGTGTATTTGTTTTGCACCATAAATAGTAAACTGGGCTTCCCCCCCACATGGCTACAAGTTACTATAATTACCTGTTGATCCTGCTAGTGATAGCATATACTGCTATTTCAATTTTATTAAGTTAGATTAAAAAATATATTTTTATATAGCATAATCTTTCTAAAAGAATTATTATGGTTAGAAATCTTCAAAAAACAATTCATCAGTTATATTGTAATATTGAAATTATGTTTTCGAAGGCTTACATAAAACTTTATACTGCTATGACCAATCACAGCGATTACATGATAACATGTTAACAACTATTGTGATCTCTGTGATTGATCACAGTTATCACATAGTACAGGGACATTCACAGTGGCACTGTACCATGTGATAGCTGTAGCCAATCACAGCAATCATAATAGTAAGCAAGCTGTCATAAATTTACAAAAATTGTAAAAAAATTAATAAAAAGTATTAAATTATTTTTTTTTTTCACATACTATCAACAGTATATATGCCTAATCACTGCCACCACTCAAGGTGTCCCCTATCACAGCCACACCAGTCGCAATGTACCTGATGACCGCTTTACTAGTCATATTGTCCCTGATCTCCTCCACACCAGTTACAGTATCTCTAATCACCGCCACAACAGTTACAGTATCCCTGATCACTGCCACAGCAGTTACAGTATCCCTAATCACTGCCACGCCAGTTACAGTATCTCTGATCACCACCACACCAGTTATAGTGTCCCTCATCACCACCACAGTCATTTCAATATCCCCGATCATCGCCACAACAGTTACAGTATCGCTAACCACTGCCAGACCAGTTACAGTATCAGTGATCACCACCACACCAGTTACTATGTCCCTCATCAATCACAATGATCACATGATAATATGGAAACAAAACTGTCATGAATGACAGCCATTCATGACAGCTTGCTTACTATTATGATCTCTGTGATCCATCACAGTTATCACATACAGTAGTACAGGCCCAGTCATAGTGACCCTGTACCATGTGATAGCTGTAGACTATCACAGCAATAACAATAGTATGCAAGCTGACAAAAATTGTAAATTATTAATTGTAAAATTACAAAAAAATCAATTTCACAGTTTACAGGAGTATACCCTAATCACCACCACACCACTTACAGTATCCATAATTACCACCGCCCACTCACAATGCCCCTAATCCCTGCCGCAATTTTACTTAATTATTTAATATTTTTTAAAAATTGTTAAAAAAAACAATTAACAAAATAACTCACCATGCCTCTTACTAAATACCTTGGAGTGTCTACTTTCCAAAAAGGGGTAATTTGGGGTAATTGTGCTCTCCTGGCATTTTAGGGCCTTAAGAAATGCGATAGGCAGTCAGTACATCAGGATTGATTAAGCATTTTTACAAAATATTTGTTTATTTAGCAAGAAATTTTAAAAGACAGTGGGGATTAAATTCCACCAAAAGAAAGCTCTATCTGTCTCAAAAAATAATACAAATTTATTTTGGGCACAGTGTTGCATGACTGAGTAATTGTCATTTAAAACTTTAGCGATGAAAACTTAATATGGCCTAGGCAGGAAGGGGGTGAAAATGTCTGCTATTGAGGTGGTTAAACTTCTATCCAAGATTCACATAAATTAAATCTTGAATTTTAATTCCCTACTGAAGTTGTCCCACAGTGTATATTGAAAGCTAAACTGACAATGTTGTCTGCTGACCACAACACTTCCATATGCACTGCTGCATTCATCAAAGAGACAAAAAAGAACAGTCCTGCTATACTGGCACTAAGGGTCTAAGAGTCAAGTGTGTAATGTCCTGAGTAACTGCAAACTTACATAAGGAAAGTCTAGCCAAACCACTACTTCAATACTGGGCACTGTCACCCCCTTCCTGCCCAGGCCAATTTTCCACTTTCAGTGCTGTCACACAATGACAGTGACAACTGCAGATTATGCAATACTGTACCCAAACTAAATTTGTTCACACAAATAGAGTTTTCTTTTGTTTGTATTTAATCACCACTGTGTTTTTTTTATATTTTGCGATATAAGCAAAAAAAGACTGTAAATTAAAAAAAATTAAAAAAAACTAGTTTTTCTTCATTTCTGTTATAAAATTTTGCTAATAAGTAATCTTTCTTCATAAATTTAGTCCAAAATGTATTCTGCTACATTTCTTTGATAAAAATAACCCAAATCAGTGTATATTATTTAGTATGTAGGAAAGTTATAGAGTCCTCAAACTATGGAATGTACACCATATTGCCAAATGTATTGGGACACCCCTCCAAATCAGTGGATTCAGGAGTTCCAATCCCTCCATGGCCACAGGTGTATGAAATCAAGCACCTAGGCATGCAGACTGCTTCTACAAACATTTGTGAAAGAATGGGTCACTCTCAAGGGCTCAGTGAATTCAAGTGTGGTACTGTGATAGGTTGCCACCTGTGCAATAAATCCATCCGTGAAATGTCCCTGCTACTAAATATTCTACGGTCAACTGTTAGTGTTTTTTTATCAGAGTGGAAGCAACTGGAACAACAGCAACTCAGACATGAAGTGGTAGGCCACGTAAAATGACAGAGCAGGGTCAATGCGTGCTAAGATGTCCAGAGCGCAGAAGTCACCAACTATCTGCAGAGTCAATAACTTAAGACCTCCAAACTGCGTGTGGCCTTCAGATATGCACAACAACAGTGCATAGAGCGCTTCATGGAATGGGTTTCCATGACTGAGCAGCTGCATTCAAGCCTTACATCACCAATTGCAATGTAAAGCGTCAGATGTACTGGTGTAAAGCAAGCCACCACTGGACCCGAGCAGTGGAAACGTGTTCTCTGGAGTGACCAATCACGCTTTCTAGTCTGGCAATCTGATGGACGTGTCTGTGTTTGGTAGCTGCCAGGAGAACAGTACTTGCATGACTTCATTGTGCCAAGTGTAAAGTTTGGTGGACGGGAGATTATGGTGAGGGATTGGGCTTGGCTCCCTAGTTCCAGTGAAGGAAACTCTTAAGAGTGTCAGCACACCAAGACATTTTGGACATTTTCATGCTCCCAACTTTGTGGGAACAGTTTGGGGATGGCCCCTTCCTGTTCCAACATGACTGCGCACAAGTGCACAAAGCAAGGTTCATAAAGACATGGATGA